CATCGGCAGTCGGGCGAGAGGCACAGCTGCTCCCAGTAGCCGCCCCGTCGACATGGAGCCCACCAGCGGCCAGGGAGGTGAGGTCGAGGGGGCCGAGCCGGGCAGCTGAGCGCAGCAGGGGAGGCGGCTGGCCTCGCTGCCTTTGCCGCAGAGCAGAGCCGCCCTCCGTTAGGAGGCCAGCTATATATCTCATGTAATTTACAAACTTAAAAATGGGAGGTGAAAGGGCCTCATAAGTGGAATAGCCTAGGGCCTTTTTTCATCTAAATCCGGCCCTGCCCAGGAATCTCAGCGAGGGGGCCCCGTGGTTGATCCCTTAGACTTACCACTGTCGTATTCGCCTGGGCGTTAACACGAGCGATGAACGGCGGGACAGGTTCTGACTGGACCTTCTTCAGCTGGAAGTAAAGATCTGGACAGGGTAAAAAGACCACAGACCTTCTCTTGATGCCCAGCTATTTTCATTCTTGCTTTGATTTCTCATTTTTCCATCCAGGTCTTCATTTTATATACATTAGGGTATATTTCTAAGAAGGGACAATTGGCCCAAACTCATCCTGGGTCTCCAGGGAGGTAGTCCTCACCTTATGGCACTGGTTCGCTTAACAGCCAGAGCAGGACCGCCGCAGAAAAGGTCGTAAAATCAGATGGGTCACCTCTTTACAGTGTCATGACTTACGACAACGTGATGGCTCGGTCCCATGATGGTTGTTAAGCAGAGGGGTGACTACTTCTGGGGGTTTCAACCCAGATCTTTTGAGGCTTCACCAAACAGCCCATCCCCATGGACGGGGCTCCTGAGAAGGTGGAGGGCCCTCCCCCCCAAAATTGACCTACCTTTTCTGTAGCGACAGGCGAAAGGTAAGGTTGCGGAGCAGGGCCCATGTTGGCTTCCATGGCTGACTTTGAAAACACGGCATTCTTCCACGGGGCCTGTGGAAACACAAGATTAAGATCAACCAAAAACCCCTCCAAAGGTCTTATCTTAATTCAAGCAACAATAATACACTCAAAAACAATAACAGAATTGGAAAGGACCTTATTAGGTCATCTAGTCCAACCCCCCGCTCAAGCAGGAGACCCTACACCATTTCTGACAGATGGCAGCCCAGTCTCTTCTTGGAAGCCTCAAGAGATGAATATAGCAATAGCAATAGCAGTAGACTTATATACCGCTTCATAGGGCTTTCAGCCCTCTCTAAGCGGTTTACAGAG